GGGGGGGGGGGGGGAAGGGATGAACCTTACACGCATTCAATCACAACCCAGCGATTTCCCTTGCTACTATAGGGTCATCACTACGGGATCGGCCGTGTGGAAACAAAAAAGCTTGATTTGAAGTTAAATCATCATCACACACACACACATACCCCACCTACCCTATCCACACACAAACGTAACAAGCAGGCTGTGATATCACAGCAACACGGATTAAAGTTTAGCGGGTGATCAATTTCCTTCTTTTCCTCAGGTCTTGGGTATATGTGTATGTGTTGGGGGGGGGGGGAAAGTTCCGAAGAAGAAGGGATGGTAAAAAAAAAAAGCTTGAATCTGTCGATTTGCAGGTTTTTTTGGTTTGCTTTGTTGAGGGGGGAAGAAAGGGAAGGGAAGGCTTGATTTTTTTGGGGGGGGGGACTGATCGGCGATGGACAGGGGAGAGGTTCGAGAGTGGTACTGGTACTGGTGACTGCATTTGCGGAGTGTTTTGGTGGGTGTGATGGATCCCTTGGAAAGGGAAAGATGAGAGATAAGGGGAGGGGGGATTGTGTGGGATGTGTGACTTGAGATTGCGAGTCACATAGAGTAGTAGGTAGGGATTGTAACTGCGGCTGAGTCGTACAAAGGCTGGTTGGTTGGATGGGTTGTTTCGACACCTAGCTGTGGCTGAAGGTTTGTTTGTGTTTTGTTGCATTACAAGGTACTATGAGTGGTACAACGTAGCACAGCCAAATGTCACGAATACAGTGGCCGGTTCGATGATGTTCTGCAATGTGACAGAAGCCGCAACAATGAGGGGATTCGTGCGACGCAAATATAGCGGGTCGGCCGAAAACAAGCCTCGCGCTTGCAATCTCTTAGCTATGCTTATCCTTTGGAGCTTTTTTCCTTGGGATCGTCACTGACGTGCGTGGACGTGCGTGAAACATTTCTTTCTGTGCACATACCCTCCGATAAAATCAAACTTTACCGGGCGTCGACTTTGGGAAACTTTGTTTATTCTCAGCACCCCTTGACGACGGCAAGACCGTAACAAGCATGCTGATCGCGGGCTGGGCAAGCTTAATGCTGCTTTGACTTTTGTTTTTGCTTGGTGCACCTACCGCTTGCCCTCGTACGACGCGCTGTTTCGTGGTGTTTTTCTTCTTCCAAGGTTCGTCAAAGGTTGCGATCGGCGTTGACGCAGCATCACCAGAACCAAACTTTCAAGACCATCACACAGACTTGAGGTACGAAAAGGAAAATCAAAGACGAAAAAGATGCAGGAAAGAGGGGTAAAAAGAAAGCAAAAACGATAATCAGGTTCATTGACGGTGCTTGGTATAGCTTGATTTCTTCCAAGCCTGCAAGATAGCTTACCCTTGTGTGTGTGTGTGCGAGCATCCAAATTTGTAGTCGAGAAGCAAAGGTTCCAAACAGGCAGGTCAGGAAAACTTCAAGGACACGCAACATGACTAATCGAACGATGATGTTGATGACGACGATGATGATGATGATGCGTGTGAGTTGCCATATTTTGGCCGTTCTCGCCGAAACCTTATCCTACTGTTGCGGGCACCGAAGTTGGGGTAGGAAAGTTGTCAACGTCTAGGGAAGGTGGTGGCGGCAGCAGATTGTGATACGAGAGGCACCAGGGAATAAAGTTTTGGGGGGAAGAGGGAGAGAGGCTAATCACGGCAGCATTGAGCAAGAGAAGGTAACACGTAGGGAGGATGTGAAAGGATAACCGCTGTTGGCGTAAAGGATTTCCTTGTCGGATCTCCATGCCGAGGTTGTGTGAAGTGTTTGCCTTGGTGATGGAAAATACTTTGCAAGCCATGCGCGGTGACGGCGGCGACCGCGGGCGCGGCGGCGGAGGAAAGGCAGCAGCAGTGTCGGTTGATATCCGCATGCATGTACTTACATGCATACATGGCTGTATGTACATATGTGTGTGTGTGTGTGAGTGTGTGTATGTGTAACATGCCCCTCGCCCTTTCCCTGGCCATTATCCACTCTCCAATGCCAGTGCGAGCATTTTTCACTAAGTACCGGGCCTTGGCAGTGACCAGGCGACAAGCATGGCTGCAGCTACGTATCCTGGAGCTCCGTCGAATATGTACAGCTAGAGTAGCCTGCAGCCATGTCCTGTAGTGTAAGTATGACTGCGGGTGGATATCGATAGCGCGACGAGTGGGCAGAGAAGACTTGGAAAAAAAAAAGGCCGATGACGCGTCCGTGCATCATGAGGGGGTCTAGAGTGATGCCGAAACAGAGCTGAGGGAGGGTGGAGATGTGGCACAGGTGGTGTGGCTCGGCAGAGTGGCACAAAAGCAGCCATCTAGAGCGCGGCCAGTGGCACGATTTTGTCTTTGCCCGCATTAACTTTGCTTATTACTCCTACTGGCGACACTGGGCATGGAGTAGCGTCTGTCTAGGTGAGTCGGCGTGGATCCGGCGGGCGGAAGCCAAGCCCTCGATGCCTGCTTTGCGGTGTACAAGTCTTTTCCCTAGGCGATAACTTTGTCCTCTTGGCTCCGCTTGTAGCGGTCAGACAGTCATCGTCGCTGCACTCTCAATATACGGTGTGGGCAGTGGGTAAAGCCAGGCCTAGAGTAGAGTAGAGTCGTCAAACACGTAACAAGATGCGAGTAGTGGTAAAAACAACGGGTTATTTCCAACTAAGAAAAAATAGCTAGCTTCTAGAACAAAATGTGCACAAACACATTCCATGCGATTCGTGAAACGGCGTAGCTGGGAGCAACGAGGCCAAACCAGAAAAATAGGCAAACCCTGTGCGGCGGCGGCGGCGGCGCCTGTGCTCCTCCTGCCAGGGAACGCACACCCGTTTGCCTCGACAGTGTGATTTTGCCTGCATCGCAGCCCAACGCCAAGACAGACCTCGTAAAAGCCATCCCACAACCAGGAGCGGAGCATATCATCCCTTGCCCGTGCCATGTCTGTAAGATGCGCCCATCCAAAATCCATAAAACCCGTTCTCCGTCTTTTTCCGTATAAACGCCGGGGGCCGAAATGAAAAACGCCCATGTCCCCGTGGCCGAGACATGCTGATGCGCAACACGCGCATCAGAACAGTGGGTATCCAAAGTATAATCATGAAATCAGAAAGCGCTAGACAATCCAAAAGGTAAAAAAGCAGACGCTGCAAATAAAGAGTGGAGTAGTGGTCGTAGCCGTGGTAATGCTCTACTTGCCCCGGGACCTGTGGCCAATGCACATGTGATTATGCCATCGTCATGTTTATCCGGGCCGAGGGTTGGTGCCTGTGTGTGGTTGTGTGGATCCGGCGGAGAACCGCTTCTTCGCCACGGTCTAGACCTGCGCGGCCTTGGCTTTGAGCGGCGCCGTTCAGGCTACCAAGTGGAAGGAAGAGGAGAGGAGAGGAGATGAGAGCAAAGGAAACAAAGAGGTGGCTGACATCAGTGGCCAATCATCGGAAGATGCCAGAGATGCGCTTGGTTCGTTGGCGCACACGTGAGAGCATGTTGGCCTTGTGCGTCTCTGCGCCAGCTGGCATGGAGATGGAGGCGTGGCGGACGCTGGAGTAGTCGCTGACTGAAGTGTCGCTGGGGCTTCCGCAAGGGTTGCTCTCGTTGTCGTCTTCGCGGACAGCAGGGTATGGTGAGTCGGGCGAGGGGAAGAAGTAGGCATCCAGGCGCGAGTTCATGGCACGGTTCTTCTCTGATGCTGCTGTGACGAGACTGCTCTTGCTGCCTACACTGGTGGCGCTGTCGGTGCGGGTGATGTTGTCGAGGCGGATGTCGCGACGGGCTGCGTTGAGTGAGGTAGAGTGTGCACGCGCAAGTCCGGATAGGGATCCAACTGGAGGAGCTGGGCCATCACCAATGAGCTTGTACTCAAACTCGGAAACGTGGCCGTGGCAGTAAGGGCAGTGGTTGCACTTGACCTCCCATCCTGAGATTCCTAGCTTCTTGCCGCATGTGGAGAGGTTGCTAGAAGGAGTGCATGGGCGGACGAGATGGTACCAGCGGTGCTTGCACGGAAGTACTGTAACGCAGAGTTCGGCTACACACATTGTTGCGATTGCTGCTGGAGTTCAGGTAATGTCGAGATAGATTCTTTTGCGAGCCGGGTTGTGGCGAGACGTTGTGAGAGACGGCAATGTGGTTGTGGAAGTCGTGGTGGCGGAGTGGAAGGTAACGTGCGGAGCGCTGTCACGAGACAAGGACGGGTGGCAATCCGGGGTAGAAGCTAGTGGCCAGTGCTGAGCTGGCAGTGAGGATGGAACGTGGGTGAAGAGGGCTGCGTGAGCGAGGACAGGCGTGTTAATGAGTCTGTCTATGGTGCCGAGACGAGCAGGCGGCGGGCCCGGTGTTATAAGTGTGTGTAAGGTGGAGGGGGAGTGGTGGACAGTGTAGTAATGCCGTGTGCCAAGGACTAGCAGCTGATAGGCCGAGATGGACGATTACCCCTTGCTCGCTTAAAAAGGCAAATTGGGCGGGGCAGGTTGAACGGCGGAATTTAGGACGAACAGGGCCAAAGAGGACGGTGCTTAACACAACCCAGGGCTCCGAGTTGAGGAAATGACGAGAGGGATTGGCGTCGGCGGCTTGGGAGGATTCGTCTTACCAGACGATAGCGGTGTTGGGTCAAGACGGAGTCTGCTGCAGGGGGGAGAATGGTACGGTCAGGCTTTAGTAGTGGATGGGCATGCGTATTGGGTGTGTGATTGCTAGAACGACGACACAGGCAGCGTGTCCTTATTTAACACACCCATTGCCCACTCCGCTGGGCGGCGGAGCGGGCCAAAGTTTCTACAGGGGGGTGTTGTGTATCCAAGGGCGATGGGTGTGTGTGCCCATGCCCAAGCCCGGCAACGCTCGTGGTGCTAAACGCAGGCTAGGGTGACATGTCCTTTCACGCCCCATGTCGGTCGCGGCGCCGGGACGCAGCACGCGGCTTGTGCGCTAAGGGAGCACCAACATGTTGGCCCAAGTCGATCTGTGCCGGAATGCTGGATAATGGTGGACGAACATGTCCATCACGGATACACGTCCCTCACCGCTCCCAGGTAACGAGACGAGCAGCCCTCTCCAAGTTCGCCGTCACAGCAGAGCAGCACGCTGAGGGCGGCCACGCGATTGGCACTGTTGCCCCTGGTCTCAGCTGAGTCGTCGGGAGTTTTTTTTTTCGCTGCCCACACCCGCCCTGACACGGTGCCGGCTCAGACTCGTGTGTGACGAATGACCAGGGGCTGCTGGCTGGTTTGCCTGTGTTTGCTTGCCCAAGGGACGGACCAAAACGGTTCTGACTCTGGCGCTGCGATCAGCCCGAGTCGGAGACGTTGGCTCGGTCTATCATTTCATTGATTGACTGATTGTGTTGGCTGTGTTTCTCTGTGCGTCATCGCTGGCGTATATTCGCATGTACGTAAATATGTACTTACTTGCATCCTTTCGCATGTGCCCATGTACGCAAGCCTGTAGTATGTATACGATCATGGTCTTTTTCTTACTCAATCGATAGCACGCTGGGGACTAGCCAGCAGCGATGCAGCTTTCGGCGCCGGTAGCGAGCGGAAGCCCCCTCCTCGCTCGTCACTGAGTTTGCTGATCCACCACAATGCCATGCCCATACCCATGCATCGCTGGATGAAGTCATGCCTCGTGGCCGCACATCTACTCCACATCCCGCTGCTTCCCTCGCCTGCTGAATCATCTCTGCCGGCCAGCCACCACGGCCAGCGTTTAGCGTTTGGCATAGAAAACCAACCGCCAGCGCCACACTACTATACGCCTCTACAGGCAGGCTCCGCACATGCTGACCGCTGCGTGGTACCAAAGGGCGCCAGACCAGGCCGCGCCTCCATATTGCCATGGCGTGGGCATAGAGTGCTGTCGCTCAACCACACCTGGCGCCAGCATATGCAGCTCTCCGGCAAGACATGACGAGGGCGCACATGGGCGCAGACGAGCAGGGCTGGCGATAGTGGCATGGGAGCAATCAGCCAGCACGCCCGCCCAATCCAGCAACATAGCCGTTGCACAGACCGCCCCTCCATTTCAGTCTTCAGCCCTGTGGGAAATGCACGCCCCTTTATTCCAGAACGCACACGCACACGCACACGCACTCGCCGTCGAAACCGCCCTGGACTAATTTCCCTCGAGCGCCCACAAGCAGGTCTTGTTTGCAATGCCGCCCAACAAGGGAGGCCCGTGGAATGGCCCTCAGATTGCCATTGTGTCAGGTTCCCCGTGATGCGAGGGTCTTTGTCGGCCCAACTGCACAGCCTCAACGCCTTTATGCGCCGGTTGGCCCCTGTAACTGCTTGCGATTCGCTCCGCTCCTCTCACGCGCTGCTCACGCCTCTTGGCGCCCGTTCTACCCTTCTAGTTCCGCCTTGGCACCCAAACCCCGCTCTGCCCGTCAAACACCAACGCCAGCGCATACCTCGACTGCCATCCCCCGATTGCCGTCTGAAAATCCTCTTGGCTACCTGCCTTCTCACCCGCAGCGAGGCATTTGTCGACCTATGGCCTGTACTGGCCGACACCTGTCCACCCCTTCCAACGCCCTCCAAGGCAGCAATCGCTCCCGACACTGTGGTAACAACACCCTCCAAGCTTGACCTTTCGTACCACGCTATCGGGGCCTTCTGTGCCAGCCTTCCCTGTGATGCGTCTCCATACCTGAGCCAGCAAACCACCTACAGTAGAGTACCTCTGCCACACCATGGTGGTGGTAGTAGTGTGTGTGTGTGTGTGTGGCCTGACTTCTGCCTGGGGTGCTCATCAAACATGATCCCCGAGTCTCTGATGGTGACATGGCGAGATCAACATGCCACGGTCTCCGATACTCCCTCGCTGTAACTTGCCAACTCTCCGCCAACTCTCCATACACATCAAGCATGATTAAGAATGACACCATCCGCACAAGAAAAGCTTGGCAGATCCTACACACACACACACACACACACACACACACACACACACACACACACACACAC